TTTTTTAAAATAAAAAAAAAGCCCCCCCCCCCCCCCCCCTACTGAATGGATTCCAAATGCATTTGGCACAGACAAGTGTAACTTATCAGATATATGTCATGGGATGTGCTCCTCATGACTTTGGTTAAAAGCGCCCCGCTCAACGATGTTGTTGTTTACGCATACGTTTACAGTGGCACTGCTGTTAATTGCTTTTTAGCTGGCACGTCTCATCTTCAAACATAATATCTGGAAAAATGCAGTTTAGCATATTCTGCCGTCTGATGCACGTCTAATCGGGCCATGGGAAATGCGTGATGTTTTGCTTCGTGGCAACAGCTTTTTGGAAAATTCACATCAAGATATTAGTCTCTCGTTCTCGGTAAATACAGTTTGCAGTGACAGTGAATGCCTAATTACAGCACAGAGATGTCGCAAACCTAACAGGACAAAGCCTACTATTTTGCAGCGCGAGCACGAGTGCAGTGGAACCTTGGAAGGCGATTTGTTTGGATTTTGAAACATTTTACAGCAGAAAATGTCAGCAGGACTTGCATTTGGAACCTGGGCCTTCTATGGGGATTTGGCTAAATAAAGCCAACACGTGTGACGTCACAATTAGGAAAACCATCAGTCCAATACCAAAAAAAAAAAAAAAGTAACAGCAGAGAACTGCTATTTAATGACATGATAAAAACCTTTAAAAATGAAATCAAAATACATCTCACCAGAGATGCTTACTATTAAATGCAACAATGTATTTTTATCGTAACAGATGTGTTTTGCATGTCAAACAAATAAAGGCTTGAATCGCAAGAGTGCTGGTGGTGCTTTTGAGGAATGAATTTTGCAGCTGTACATTTAAATTGCTCCAAGTGCATCTTGGTCAACCTAATTTGTTTTGCAAGCTAAAACCAATAATGCTAATGAGACTCTGATGTGTCTTAGCGGTGCGAAGATGAACAGATGGGCTGAAGTGAGGTAGCAGCAAGACGATTCACGACGAACCTTTCCATCCTCCAACATGAGCTGCAGAGAGGCGTCACCATTTTTGTAGTCCTTGGTCAGCTCGGCCGACTTCCACACTTCTTCGATGTCGGGGATCCACACCCGAGCACACTGTGAAAGACAAGAAAAAAAAAATTGACATCAAGCCAGTTGATGGGCTTACACACGCGGAGACCTCAGTTTGCACACTGCAATGCCACCCGCCACCTCGTTTTACAAATAGAAGGACAGAGCCGACCCATAAAAATTGGCTAATTTCAGCAAAACAAAAAATGGGATAGGTACAATTTTCGATAACTCTTGATAGTTCATGGATATGGATGAAAAAGCGTTACGTACATTAGTAGGACACGACTAACCTGTTTCAAATTGTGAAACAAAAATGCAAACTTGGTCTTTATTCTTGAAAGACAGTAGCGTGCTGAATTTACAGCTGATCAAGTGAATCAAAACCAGAGCTCAAAACTCACGACGTAGGCTCGCAGGGGACACCGTGGGTTTGATGACTTCACAATATCATCCACTTCCCAACCAGGATCATCAGACCACAAAAAGAAAAATGACCATAACAACTGATTGCACCCTTACATTGGCGATACCATCTGCAACGAGCATGCCACTTAATAGCATGTAACTAGATTGAGTGGGAATGCTTGTTATCACATGGCCAGAGGGGGAAAATCCCCAAATGTCCTCCAAAGTTAGCTTTTGTTGATTGTACTGTATTTTTATGTTATTTGACTGATTGCATTTGATTAAATTCTGTCTGCGCTGTTGGCCACTGCAAGATGTCCACTGCTGCATTGGCTTCCATTCGCGGGGGAGACTCGTTTGATCGTATTTGTAGCAAACATCTGTCAGATGCTCTCATGGTAGCGCTTGCCAGCCTGTTATTCCCGTGACAGTGATTCTCGAGTATCCTCCTTTTCCTAAATGTGCCAGGGTTTCCCCCAAGTTTACTGAGAGAGAGAGAGAGAGAGAGAGAGAGAGGAGAGAGAGAGAGAGAGAGAGAGCTAGCTAGCTAGCAAGCTAGCTAGCTAGCTAGCTAGATAGCTGGATAGATAGCTAGCCCGCTAGATAGATCACATAGCTATGATATGAAGTGTTTGCTTGTTGAGCAATAAACTATTTGGGCAAGTCCCTTAGTTTGGGAAACACTGATGTTTGTTCACATTTTCTTTATTTTAAGAATACAATAAAAGTAAGATGAGTTTGAAATGACCTTAAAATGTTTTTTGATTTGGAGTTTGTGGCAGATTTATAGTATGCTTTAAGCTATTGATATGGGCAATTATAAACCCTTTGGGGCTGGACAGCATCAATAATTGTGACTCGGCTTGTTTGGTATTTGCGGTAGGGCTCTGTCCTTACCCCCTGTGCATTGCAGGGGATTACTGTAGTCCAAATATCAATCGATCTCTGTAGGAAATGTTGTTTTGACCAAATGGAAGTAGCAATGTTGGCCTTCGACAAAGCAGAACCGAAAACAGTCAGACGTTTGTGGGAAAACACTGGTAAGGCAAATGTCATGTCAAGTTGAGTGCTTGGATTGTGTGCGCTGCACAATTGTCTCTTTACCACACAGACAGACAGATGCACACAAACTTGACTTTAAGAAAAAAAAAGAAAGACTCGAAGTCGAGCCTGGATGTAATCAGCTGATCACAGAGCATGAAAAAACAGCAATGAATGCTGCCGGTCACATGGCGGTAGACTCTGAATCGTACATTAAACTGCATGCATGCCACTGACCTAGCGCCACCAGCGCCACATTGAGATCTTCACAAGTGTGTGCATCTGTGTGGTATTTGACATTATAAAAGGCGAAAAGGAATGAGATATGCATAATATTTTTTTTATATACCGTATCTTTGCACTAAGGCGCACATAAAAGCATTCAATTTCCTCAAAAGCTGACAGTGCGCCTTATAATCCGATGTGCCTTATATATGGATCAATATTCTGATTTCTTGGACATAGTATTTTAAATATTCAGTAAAGCGCTTTGTTATAGCTACAGCGGTTGTGAAAGATCTATATAAATAAAGTTGTATTGTATTGTATTCCTTTTGGCAAAGCTCCATCTGCTGGATG